ACTATGATTGGTTACGTGTAATTTTTTCTGATGAAACAAGCGTGGAAATTGGAAAATCGTCGCGACAAATTAGGGTATGGTGAAATGCAGGAGAGAGGTATGATTCCGAGTGTCTGGCACCTACATTTAAGAGTGGCCGGCAAATAGTAATGGTGTGGGGGTGTTTTATAGGTGAAACAAAAGGACCATAAGTTTTTTGTGATGAGTATAAAGAAGAAAAAGAAAAAATAACTGCAAAAACATATCAAAAGATTCTGGAAACTCACCTTTTATCGTTTCAACGTAAAAATCGTGATTTGATATCACCACATCTAATGTTTCAACATGACAATGCTCCAATCCACATGGCAAAGATCATTAAAAATTGATTCGAAAAAGAAAATATCTGAATTATCGATTGGCCCCCAAACTCCCCTGATTTAAACCCAATCGAAAATATCTGGAAATTGTTGAAGGACAATATCCAGAAGCATGAAAATTTTCCAAGAACTGTAAAAGAGCTCAAGGTCACTCTAATTGAAGAATGGTCAAAATTTGATACGTCATTTTTTTGAGAGGTTGTGCATTCAATGCCGTGAAGAATCAATGCGGTAATAAAAGCAAATGGAGGGTCAACAAAATATTATTCAAATAAAAAAAAAATTTTTTCATGTACTGTATATAGAAAAAAAAAAAAATAAACGTATACTTACCTAAAATCGATTTTGATTTGATAATCGGGCGTTACTTTTTAGGGTGACTGTACTTTATCCATTTTTTTGTTAAATGTTATATTGATTATTGACAATTACGGTATGGTGTGTATTGAATTATTTTTAAAATATTGCGTTATCACGCTAAACGAAAAAAAAAACTTCTTTTTTTTTTATGATTATCTTGATAACACGACGATTTTGTTTACATCTTGGTTTAAAAATATTATTTAACAAAAAAAATAGGTAAAATTAGAACACAGTATTATTTCATGCTATAAAACAAAAAATAAGATATATATTTTATTACTAAATTGAACGTTGGAATGAAATTCGAGATCGACCCCCAAAGCTTACTATAGTCATTCCGCGTTTTCATTCCATATACTTTATTGAATCATGCGGAGATCAGTCGACCCCTGAATTCGACGTGAATGTTCTATCGAGCGAGGCATTGTTGTCAACCGGAAAAATTATCCATCATATCGTAAATAAACGGAAAGGGTCGTAAAAATATGAAATGTTCATATTGTACTCTTTTTGAATCCGGAAGATCCTAAACCAAAAACATGCCTTTTTATCGATATTACAAACCGCCTTGATTTACACACTCTGATCATCAATAACCGACGCCTAACCAAGTAAGTTTTGATCCTATTGATTGATATCTTTGATCTTTTGATAATTGAAATGGTTGGCTCATGTACAGATGGTATTTCACTGTGGGCACCAATCAGGTCCACGTTTATGGTATTTATGTATGCAGGCACAAGATTTCGGGCCCGTATGATGTGTTCATCTACAAGTACGTACAGTAACTCGCTTCATAATTCAAGTTCGATCTAACCAATAATACTAACAAATGCCGAGTGCACGTTTCGTTTAATAAAAAAAGCCACTGGAAAGGGGTTATAATAATAAAACCTTTTCGTCAATCCTTCTTCATTCATTGTCAACCAACAAATTTCAAATTCTATATAATTAAAAATTCGCATTGTACATGAAGAATAATTCATGGATTCGAATCACAAGCCATCTACGTAATTCGAAAATGTGAAATTATCTCGCAAATGCGTTTCCCATGTTTCTAAGTGAGAGTTGACTATAATACATCCATTTTACGTTTACGAAACGTGGCAATGGTTACCTCGTTAAAATCAAACAACGCCAATATTAACAATAAATTATTTTTTTATATAAGGATCTTAAAGGTATGTACATCTTACCTTGACAAAGAGTTTCTCACGTGCACAATTTTGATTTTAGTGACAAATACGTGCGTGATCTTCGATTTACCCCGCGATCAGCACGAACGCGAAAACAAATCATTTTCTTAAAGGTTGCATGATTACAAGTAATCTACGCGTAGATGAAGCCATTAAATAATGTAACACCATCCATAGGCAATTCATATAATTAAAAGTTAAGATTATCCTTCCAAAATCACGTACGATCGCTGATGGATGAATTTACATCCATTATAAAAGGATGCGTTGCTTGAAACCGTTTGATGCGCTCCAATTCTCTCAAGAAGTAAAGGAAGTCATCACGGTTTTATGAACACCTGCTCTCTCACATTAATTTTTCTCTGTGTCCTCTTGAAAGCGATTTATCAATTTGAATTAAGCACATACATCATTCAAGAGAAAACCTAGAGAAAATTAATTTGAGAAAGCAAAGAGAAAACAAACCACAACCGAATAAAATAATAATAAATTTAACGATTAAGAAAATTCCAATATCCTCTGCAAAAAGATTCAATCATGCCGGACGCACAAATCTACATTCAGGACTTTACCACTCATCACGAGAAAGCCAGTCGACCAAGAAGCACCGTGCATAAGGCACCTAAAATTGGAAATCCAACCCCACTTGGTAATTAATTCTCCTTACATCGCATCGCAGCCAACCCACTTGCATATTCCACAAATTCCATTAAGTAACTAATCCGAATAAAATCATTAATTTACACGTGCACTTTTAAGGTCTTTCTTCCTTTGCACTATCAGTTTTCATTTTAGCCTTCTACAATGTCGGAGCTTTCGGAGTGCAAGTTCCAAATGTTATTGTTGGTGTTTCGATGTTCACCGGTGGTGTCGTTCAATTCGCCGCTGGCATGTGGGAATTCAAGGTTGGCAATACATTTGGTGGAACAGGTTTCGGCGCCTTCGGTGGTTTCTGGGCATCCTTCGGGGCCATTTATATTCCATTATTCGTGAGTTTATTGGCTTTCAATATGTATCAGATTAGCGATTATGTCGAAAAAACCACGTCCATGAATTAAATTCAATTCGTTAAATTCGTTAATAACGCGTAGGGTATTCAAGATGCCTTTGGAGTCAAGACCGATCTTGCGGGCAATTTCGTAGCCATAAATTCCACTGTAGGTGATGCAGTCGAACAGTTCCACCACTCCCTTGCTATATATTGTCTTGGTTGGCTGATATGTAAGATCTTCACATTCCTCCCCGTACCGCGCTCCTAACATGTACCACGATCTAATGTCATGAATTTTTTCGATAATCAGTTACCTTCATCTTTACACTTGCTTGTATTCGCACGAATATGGCTGTCTTGGGTGCTTTCGTCTTCTTGACTGCCAGCTTCCTCTTTGAGGTCATCTATCATTTTTACCCATCTACGACAATTTTCATTAAAATAGCCGGTGTTTTAGGAAGTATGTATCTATGATATTGTTGTGAAAACCGAACCCTTTTTATCTCACAGGATTTATACTCATTCACTCTTCCTTTTCTATTAATAGTCCTTTGTTCTTTGTGTGTCTACTATAGTTTGGCTGGTGTACTCCTAACGCCTGATCTTTCGCCCGTCAGTCTACCTTTGTGGGATTTGAGTAAGAAGGGTAATTAAAAGAAGAGGAGTATTGCCGACAAGAAATGATCCAAAACATTCAAGTTTTTCCTAATTGTATAACTTGCTTGGTTGATTGATATTATAGGAAGGGTAATGCCAATTTTTTTTTATACATTGAACGAAACATCAGCATGGGATGTTTTATCAAAGATACAGATTGTTTTGTTTTTTCTTATTTTTTTTTTAATGAGATAGAACTTCTTCCTTTTTCACGAACTTACTTAATCTAATGATTTTTATTTTCCTTTTAATGATTATATACATTGTAATGAAATTCTTTTCTTCGGTTATGTTTTTCACCTTTCTTCAGCATAGCTTTCATCCCCAAAATTAATCCTTTTCCCATACCGTAACATAATGTTCGATACTGTCGAACGTTCCCTGTTTATTTCGAATGCCATGTTTATTATATAACGGTAATCTAAAACGGGGATTCAAGTAATTGTCACATTTGTACATTTTCTTGAATACGTATCGAAACAACATTGATCAATAAATCTTTAGAATAAATTTTCTAAACAAGTGTCGACGTACTTTATTTGAAACAGAAAAAAGGAAAAAAAAAATCCAAAATTTATACATTAAGAAAATAGTTTCATGTCCAATTTCCCCTCCCGTGTCGTCACGACAAAACTTTATTCTTTATCGTCGACTTGGCGATCTGTGATACGCCATCCTTCTTCTCAATAAATTCCACCAAGCCCTTGGTAAACGGATCCCGTCTCATCGCCTCCTTTTCCACATAAAATCTCATTTGTCTTCCTCCACCGCCATCACCGGCTCTAACCCACGTAACCCACTTGTTCGTTCCTTTATACTCTTTTAATTCGTTTAGTTTCACGCGTTGTTCGCGCGTTATACCTAGCCAATTATAGGTCTCCATAAAAATCGTGGGATTGCCTCCGGGCGGATCTATTAGTTTGGGATTAAAAGTTCTTCGCATCTTAGGGTTATATCTGATTTTGGCGGGTAAGTCGATGTATAAACGGCTTACGTAGGTAGCGCTTATCTTGTTGATGAAGAGTGTCGGAATTGTTACTGCTATTGGAGCTGTGCGAACGCGCAAAAACCAATTAAGAAAAAGTTGGTAGAGGAATTCGTTGATATTTGAGCGAGCGATTACCTATAATGCCTGCCACGGGTGCCTTCCCATACATTAACATTGTAGGGGTCATCAAAAATCCCAGAGCACAAAAAAATGCAGCCAACCTTATGTAAAGCATGAGATCCTTTGCAAACGGGCCAACATAAATCAGCAATCGATCAGGAGATTGATCGGATTGAGAGGTCTTTTTCGTGTTAACCTTGGACAGATACAACCGGAAAAAAATTTTGGAGAATGGCATCACGGGAATATTTGGCACTACATTCCGTGAATGTTTCAAATTGATCAGAGGTTTATGAGGGGATTTGAAATAGCAAGAAAGGAAACGAGTATTATTGAAAGAAATTTTTATTGACGAACAAAATTTGCGACGCTGGAAAGAAAATCGAAACATCGAATGGAATAACGAATTACGAAAATTTCAGTGCAAAAAATTTATCTTCAAATTTCATTGGCTATCACGATCGATGAAATACAGTAAGATCTGTTTAAATGCCGGTTGCGTAAATGCTGATGATCTTTAACAAACATGTCTTCGGATTCCTTCTCAAATTCTTTGACTTTCAAATATGTCAGTGAATCGGATGTTGAACGAGCATTTGAACTTGAATCTCAAGGTGAAAATTTACCTTGACTACTTTTTTATTATCATGATTCCTTCAATCAACCGAGTCTAATACACATTTTCTTTCTTTTTTTCTCCCTCCAAAAGGATATCCTCCCGAGGAAGCAGCAACTTTAGAAAAACTCCTCTATCGTCAAAAACACGCGCCCGAACTATTCCTCGGTGCTTACCTCCCCATTTCCTCCACCCTTCTCCATACTTCATCCTCTCCCCAATCTTCCCAACTTATTTTAATCGGTTTCATAGTCTCCACACTAACCATTTCTCCCTCGCTGACCGATGAATCAATGTCTCATCATGACCCTTCGGGTAAAACCGTTTGCATTCATTCGGTATGTGTTGACAAGAATTATAGGAGACGTGGTGTGGCACTTGCATTGTTAAAAGAGTATATTAAACGATTGGAGAAAAATTCTCGGAATGAAGGGAAGAGGAAGTACGAAAGGATCGTGTTGATTAGTCACGATTATTTGATTCCATTATATCAGAAAGCCGGATTCGTGCTTAAAGGTGAAAGTCAAATTGTTCATGGTAGGTTTTAAAGACAGTCGATTTTAAATTCTTTGAAGAATTTTCTAAAAAAAAAAATTCAATTTATTCGTTCTAGGAAATGAGAAATGGTTTGATCTTGTTTTGGATTTGAACTAAACTAACCAACTCCTACTATCGAGTGAGTCCTGTGTATATTGGATATATTTTGGTTCCATTTCGCGAAATGCACGTTTGTCATACCAACAACTCATTTACAATCCTGTTTTCCAACTTTCATCACCTATCCTTATTGGCCTCTTTAATACCTGTCCTCTTATTCAACTCCAACCAGTTCATGTATTCAATCTTTACTATATCCTCAATGTCTGAAGAATCGCGTAAATAAAAATATCTGGCCAACCGCGAATCCAATATGGATTTAAATAGTCCTAATGGACGTAAAACGTTTTCCAAAAAAAAGAACCACGCTATTGCGAAGAAGGCTCCAATGATGCTTCCTGCCATTACTTGTTTTGGGGTGTGATAATTGAGGTATATTCTGTGTGAAGGGTGGAAAGAAAGTCGTGGGATGAGAGTGTTGACTCAGGAGATTTACTGAATGGATTTAAGAAAGCTGAGACGTGTAGGAAATGTTTTTTTTTTTTTTTTTTTGCAAAATGGAAAGAACACAAAATACCTTGAATACGTAACAGCCAAAAATAATCCGATCAAACCTATTGATATCGGAAACTTTTGCGAATTTCTTCCGAAAGTTATTCTGCGATAAAATGAAAAGAAATGAATAATTGTCATTCAAGAATGCAACCGATCGTTCATGGATAAATGAATGAATTAAAGAACGTTCACCTTGTGTACAAGTATAAAATTGAAAATGTTGTAAAGTATGCCATGAACTGAGCATGAGAAGATGGCATTCCATATCCTTTTCCAAGTTTCTCTGAATGGGTAATAATATGTGAGTAAGAATTTGAGAAATAGCATCTTAATTGACTCGACGAGTTCCAAAGAGAATGTCTACATTGTATATATATATGTATATACAGTATATATGTATACGTATATCTATTAAACATATTAAATTTACCGGGTCTTTTCTCCTTAATCAACCGTTTCAGTAAGAAATTCAACCCTTCACAAATTAATTGACCAAGAAACATGTTAATCGTCACCATCTCTCTTCTGGCTAGAATTATGGTGACATACGAGACAACTAACGCCAGTGGAGATAAGGTGATAAAGGCAAATAGGAAGGCTAATGGATCAGTAGGATCGAATTCTACGTGAGTCAGGGCAAACGATACAAGAGGCGGTTCCTGGTGCATTTCGGGAAACTAGTGTAAAAAACGCGATGCAAACAAAAAGATAAACAATGTGAACAATTTATCGTGAAGAAATTATAAAGTTTATACCGAGCATCAACAATTGATAGGCATAATATGTATACTTCGGGATGCTTTCTAATGTGACACAAAAAGTTCTTTGCCACACGTAAAGTTGATCGAAAAAAATTTAAGTTTGTCAGAAAAGATATCGATCACTTCATGTTATATTTCGTATTTGTTTGTCAAACCATTAGTTGATTTTTTTTATTATTTAATACGTAGTTTTCTTTTCCAAAGGATTAATACATTACTGTTTTTGATATACTGCACGTATAGTATATAACTGATAAATCTCATGTCATGCATCTAGAAAACAAAATATTTAAATACATGTATGTTAATGTAATTACATATTAGAGAACCATAAACGAGTACGTATTGCGATTCGCGCATTTTTTGAATCCATCATAAAACCATTTGCATATAATTCCTTGCGAAAAAGAAGAGATCATATAAAGTTCTCTATAAATAGCCCTTCGAGATTACTTTTTTAGACAACAATAAGATAATTATGAATCAAATGTCAATTAAAACCGAGGTGATCTATGATATAATCGTTTTTATCTTGCTTTGCGATAAATTTCGGAATTATTAATTCAATATGCTGTATTTTGTCTCATAAATTAGACGCATCAAATAATTAATCTAATTCCCAAAGTTAATGATTTTTAAATACTTTGTGTACACCATGGACCAAAAATTTCTTGGAATTAAAATTTAAATAATTTTCACGTATTATTGATTACAATAAACACAAATCAAATAACCCTTTAACTTTACATTATTAATTATCGATTAAAAATTTTTTTCCGGATTTTTTAATTAATTAATTTATTTAATAGATTAAAAAAATTTTTTTCCAGATTTTTAATTGATTTTTTTTATAAAAAAATTTTTACTTTATTCATAATTAAAATGATTATAAAATAAAAAAATTTTAAAATCATAAAGATATCATCTTTATACAAAAAATATATTTTCTCTATCTCTCTTTTTTTTTAAATTGCTCTTTTTTTTTTTTATATAATAGAATAGGCATTAGATGCCAATCATTTATTGATATATATATGATATCACAATTACATCATCTGTAATGCTAAACTACAGCTAAATGCTAACCTATCCTACTTTTATTGTCCCAGTGATACTAATGACATTTTTAAAGTGAGTTCATATTTTTTGAAGGGTACCTATCTAAAAGATGAAAATTCTACTACTAGCTTTAAACCATCTAACCTACCAGTTCAATTTTTGTATAAGGACATTAGATACTGCTGACTATTTCCTAAGTTACTTATCACATTACACCTTTTCACTCATGTATTATATGGCAAAGAAGCTAACAATGTGATATATGTAGGAAGTATTATTAGTTGAATTTTGTATAAGAGATTGACTTGAGTTAGCCAGTATTGAACTTATGGTTAAATAAGTTTGGGTAAGAGAGTCAGATTCAGATCAGATGACTCTGGTTCAATAATAAATTTTTCTGAAAGTTTTTCAAAATGAAACAATTTCCTAAGAAGTTTAATTTTGTTTATGAGGGTACCATCCTCAATTATAGGGAGGAACAGTATGATATCCTCATATTTGAAAATCTCTTGAATGCTGGCAAGATTAGGAAGATCTAGCAATAATGGAAAAATCCATTCTCTTGGAATTTCCCTTGTATAGTTGTCCTTGATTAGTTTGATTGTTATATTGAAATCTGAATAATCTCTATTGAGTTTGTTGCTTGTGATTTCTAACTCTTCTGCAACCAAAGAGAGTTTGTTCAGAATATTAGATTTTTCTGATTGTGTCAAATCTTCCTTGATCCATTCAGGACCTAAGAGAAGTTTGAAGAAGAATTTTTTTCTGAGTTGCTTAATAAATTCTTTAACCTTATTTTGGTTAATAATAGGCAAGATATTTTTATTATTTTTATTATACCAGTATATTAGTGGCAAAGGTCTCTTGGCTTTAATATAATCATTAAATAATCCTTTGAGAGTATAATTCTCATCTCTAAGAATTTGTACAACTTCCAAAATTCTTTCTAGATCATTGTCCACTGGAAAATAGTGAGCAATATACTTAGGTAGATCAGTATATAATGGTGGAAGGGTTCACTTGGGTGGTGATAATCTAAAGTATAACTTCGGTAATTTACTAGAAACATAATAATGGTCCCTTAATTTACCGACAAGTTTTCTCAGGTTATTTAAGTCAGCTCTATTTGTAAGGAAAAAGATGTCTTTTACTTCATTATTGAGATCAGCAGAATTTTCTGGAAGGTTTGGCCTTTGTATAAAGAAAGAGGAGGGGTATAAATCAAAATTGTAATATGCTCTGAGGCAATCTGACACTTCTTTGATAAACTTTGGAAAGGTGATAGGGATAGCCCTTGGTAATTTGATTTTGATTGTTGCTAAAATTTCTTTAGGTGTTTCAGGAAGATTTGGTAATCTCATTTTAATTAATTCATTACATTTGTTGTAGATTTCTTGATAATTTATTTTTGGAAGTGAGGGATCAAAAAAGAAATTAAACCTATATTTCAAGAGTTGAACAACCTGCCAATACTTGAGTTTTGTGAGGTTAAATGACCTTAAGTAAGCTGTAAAGAGTGCTTTGTTGATAATGACCCTGATTTTTTTTCTTGTTGTTCTCGTGATATAACCAATATTATTTACTTTTAAGTAGTTGTTTCTAAACTCATTTTCAATTTTTTCATATTCCAGTTGATATTGACCTTTAATTAACTCATTTTGGTGAAGGTCCTGAAGAAGTCTTTATTTCTGTGTTCAATTTTGAAAAAGATAACCTTTAATAATAACCTGGAAGATCCTCTGGGATCATCTCTGATTTTGATGAAAAGATTAAGAATAACCTTTGGGATCCTGAGGCCTTGGTTATTTTATTACAATAGGCAAGGATTTTGATTTGTTCATCCTCTAAATTGATGTTGTAAATGTTCTTATCAGAATATTCATTGACTGTGGCTGATAATGTGGCCTCAGTCTCATCAGCCCAAGATGTAAGGTTAGTTATATTTGATAAATGTGGCTCAGTTTATATAGGGAGATCATCGATTTCCATTTCAGAAGTGTTTTGTGTGCTGATCAGTTTAGTGTTGCTTTTATGCAGGGGGCAGGGGTACATGCATCTGTTGTTTCAGATTCATTTGAGTTTCATGTTTGATTATTGTCAAGAGGTAGTACGGGCTCAGAGATAAATACAAGGATTGTTAGGGGGGAAGAATTTGTAGTATTGTTGTTATTTGTATTGTTTTTATTGATCATTTCCTCTGTGGGTACTAGTGTGTTTGGAGGGGCAAGGGTGTTTTGGTTTTTCTTTCCAAAGTGAAAGTTTAAGTTTCTTCACAGGTAGAGATATAGAGTTTGTCCCAAGAGATATGCAAGCCATAGTTAAGACCAAGTTTAATGATTTCTCTCATTACTTCAGTTCTGTTATCATCTGTTATTTAAAAAATGTACTGGAAGTTGAGGAAGGAATTGAGGTCTTTTAAAGATATTGATTTAGGTATTGAGATATTGACAAGTGTTTGAATTGCTGAAGGTCTTGTCCTTTGGTAATCTTCAAATAAAACATTGATGATTTTGATGCTTTCTACTTCACTTTGTACAGAGCGAACAGGTATTAATCAAACTTTGAACAGTTTCCTAACTTTGGAAGGTGAGCTAATTGAGCAGATGGAGTGGCAGTAATTTTGTTGGTTTTTGTGTTTTTGTAAATAATAATGACTTGTGGATTTTGAATATTGATTACAAGGATATCAAAGAGTATGTGTTCATGGTTTGTTGGTTGACCCTTGAGAGGGGAGAGTCCCTCAGAATCTTTGGTTTTTTTT